CTAAAGATCAGTCCTGGGTGTTCATTGAAAGGACTGATGTTGGAGCTGAAACTCCAATACTTTGGCCACTTGATGTGAAGTGCTGACTCATTTGAAAAGACCCTGATGCTCTGAAAGATTGAGGGCAGTAGGAGGAGGGGACGATAGAGGATGAGATGGTTGGATGGCATCACCGACTCAATGTAAATGAGTTTGGGTAAACTCTGGGAGTTGGTGATGGACAGGGAGGCCTGGCATACTGTGGTTCATGGGGTCACAAAGAGTTGGACACAAATGAGCGACTGAACTGAACTGATGGTTGATATATCTGTGTATATATGATATTGATGGTAACAGCAACAACAGTACTGACTACTTACTACATGATAATTACTGTTTTAAGCATTTTATATAAATGGAACCATTTCTATATCTCTGACTCTATAAACATACATACATATCATGGATCTATAGATATAATGGATCTAATGGATATGTTTAGATATAGGTATGAATATATCTCTCTGTGTCTTTATATAAAATTATATGCACCCATGCCTCTTGTTTCTAATTTTGAAGCTCGTATCATTTTCCAACTGTCCATTTAATTGGTATAATTGATTAATACACACAGAAAAAGAAAATAGAAAAATCAGTAATTCACAGTGCCAGTGAGAGGCGGGTGTAATTAGCTTTTACACCCTATAGAAGTTGATCTGTGCTTTTATGTTTACCTTAAAGAAGAACAATGTGGTCTTTACTAGGTCCACTCAGTAGGGAGACAGAGTCAGATGTCACAGGCTGCCTTCTCACAGGTCAGTGAAGGAGCAGAGGCTTGGCTTCCAGCATTTCCTCTCCAGGGTAACCCTTGGACAGATCCCTGAAGCAGTAGGGGTCTTTAATCTGGGAGAGTTATTCTTAACAATGCTGGATGAGGGTCTAGGACTCGTAATCTATCTTATCACAAACTTTTGGGTTTACCTCCGAGAGTGGGGAGGTTCTGAAGATGGATTTCTGTCATTTTATATGTACTGTTTTCTCCTGTAAGAGCTGGCATTTCTGGTGGCCCTGTCACTGCACCTGGGAGGGGGGGATCATCTTATTTGAACCCTGGTGGGACACCCCTGCACTAACTATAACATTGTTGACTCAGGTTACTAATTTAATAGTCTTCACTAGTTTGCCCCCAGTGACCCGCTAGTAACCAGCTTCTTCAGCAACTTCTTTATGCCATGCAAAGTTGAGAGTGACAGTACTGCTTACCACTGAGCAGCCATTTGAACATAAAACTAGCTGATTTTATCACAGGGACCAATTGTTGAGCTAATTAGATGTGCAGAACTGCTGATGAGCCAGAAACCTGAAGTGATTTTTCCATCTAAACCATGGTTTTCTGCAGAGTTGGCTCGGTTGTAGACACCAGGCTCACCACCAACCCTTGAAAAGGGAGAAAGGCTGAAGACATTTGCTATTTCCATCCAGATTAGGGCAGGCTGGAGAATCTCACAGGAGAGGACCTGAGTGAAACCTCAACTTCACACTGAGTTCCTTGACCTTGAAAGAGCAGGATTCTGTTTACAGAATTTGACAGCTGCTTCATATCTTTGGTGAGCTGCAGCCTTGGCACAAAATGTAGGATCTTCTTGCCTTTGGACAAAGTCTTCATGGTGGTGGTGGTTTAGTCAGTAATTTGTATCAGACCTTTGTGACCCCATGGACTGTAGCCCTCCAGGCTCCTCTGTCCATGGGATTTCCCAGGCAAGAGTGCTGGAGTGGGTTATCATTCCCTTCTCCAGGGGATCTTCCCCACCCAGGGATCAAACCCAGGTCTCCCGCATTGCAGGTGGATTCTTTACCACTGAGCCACCAGGGAAGCCAAAGACTTCATAGTCTTTCATTAATAGCATTTTCATATTTTTTCGCCAGAATTTCATAGTGGAATCATCTGCTTATGGTGTTCATTGGAGGAGATAATTATATGTGTTCTTGTTTTTGGATCACCAGATGTAGACAGTTTCCCTCTCAAGTGAGCCCGTGATGATGTTTTCTAGTATTCCAAACTGAATCATAGCTTCTGGCAGGGAGGGGGGTTGTTCCCATGTGATTTTTATGTTCTGAAAATCCAACTTTTCCTCATTTAGGAACCGGATCTTTTGATCAGTAATAGATTATGTTTCCTGAAATTTGCTGAAGAATTAATAAATCAAAAGACTGTTCTGGCCACATGACCTACTTCCTTCCCAGTGCCTCATAGCTTCATGAACAATAAGCACAAGCTTTCCTCTGGATAACCTTTTTGGGTGAATATCAAATTACCCACTATGTGTCAAATATGAAACAGGGCCTTAATGTCTCTGTCTCCCAGCGTGTTTGTTTATCCACCCACCCACCTATCCATCCATCCATCCATATCTTCAGCATAGCTATAGTCTCTAAGTATGTATCATGTTTTATCTTTAATTTCAATTATCTAGCAATCTGCTACTGTACTGTACATGGTGTCATTTTAAAGCAAAGTACCCAAAATGAAAGGTAAAAAGCAACAAGTATTTTTTGGCATTGCTTCAACTTCCCTGATAGCTCAGTTGGTAAAGAATCTGCCTGCAATGCAGGAGACCCCAGTCCAGTTCCTGGCTTGGGAAGATCCACTGTAGAAGGGATAGGCTACCCATCCAATATTCTTGGGCTTCCCTTGTGGCTTAGCTGATAAAGAATCTGCCTGCAATGTGAGAGACTGGGGTTTGATCTCTGGGTTGGGAAGATCCTCTGGAGAAGGGAAAGGCTACCCACTCCAGTATTCTGGCCTGGAGAATTCCATGAACTAATAGTCCATGAGGTTACAGAGTCAGACATGACTGATTGTCTTTAACTTTCACTTTGATTATTTAATTTGATCAGTGGCTGACAACTCAATATTCTTGGGCTTCCCTTGTGGCTTAGCTGATAAAGAATCTGCCTGCAATGTGAGAGACTGGGGTTTGATCTCTGGGTTGGGAAGATCCTCTGGAGAAGGGAAAGGCTACCCACTCCAGTATTCTGGCCTGGAGAATTCCATGAACTAATAGTCCATGGGGTTACAGAGTCAGACATGACTGATTGTCTTTAACTTTCACTTTGATTATTTAATTTGATCAGTGGCTGACAACTTTCCTTGGCATGTGGCCACATCCTCCCAGTCTCTGAGTAGGTGGCCAAGTGGCCTTCTCCACTTCTGTGTGTCCAATCTCCCCCTCCTTCTCTCTTACAAGGACACATGTGATCACATGTAGGGCCCACTCGATAAGCCAGGATAATCTCCCCATCACGAGATCCTTAATTTAATCACAGCTGGGAAGTCTTTGCCGTATAAAGTAACATTTACACATTCTGGGAATTAGGGCATGGACGTTTGGTCGGCAGCAGTATTGAGCCTACTACAGTCCTCAGGCCTGGATTCCATCCTGAAATTGTCACATGTCATGACTCATGTGACAGTGGTAGCTTTTGGAGGCTGAAACTGGGAGTTCTTTTTTCCTGGGCTGCTCACCCAGTGGGCACCCATCTGGCTTCTTCTGAGCCCCGGGGCCACACACAGAACACACTTGGTGCCCCAGGGAGGATGGGGCTTGCTCTCCTCTCTCTAGAGATCCTTGTCTAATTTTGAACAGAGATACAAATTTGCACCGGCTTATCCCCTTTCAAACATCTCTACCTTCAAAAAATATCCAGCTTCATCCCCATCCTACTTAGCAAAATAAAGTAGCATACTAAAAATAACAACAGGGAAAAAATCCTGAGAGCTAGATTTGTAGGAGAAAATTGTGTGTGTGTGTGTGTGCGCGCACATGTGTGTGTATAATCAAAATAATGTTTGAATGGTTGGCGAGGATGTGCTAGTGCTGTCTTAATCACTTACTACCTGTGGATCCATGACTTCTATTTCTTGTCTTCATTTTAGAATTATCTGAGTCTGAATAGCATAATTTCCTCATAGATTTGTTATAAGAATTAAATAATATTTTCTATATATGTAAAAATACATTAAAAATTCTGTATATGTAAAAATACCTCTTGTTATGGACATTTATATATATATGTATGTATGTATGTATACACACACACATACACACGCACGCACGCATGCACGCACATACTATAATATAGCTAGCATGTTGTACCCACCCAATATTCATTCAATGACGCTGAGCCCCTTCAGTCTTCTAGTCAAGAAAATAGTTCCAATTATGCCAACTCAACTGAGAGAAATTAAATATTCTCAACAAATATCGTTATGCTATAATCATCATAATATAACTGGACCTGATAATTCCCTACCAGAAGGTACAGATCCTTTGTGTTTCCTTATAAGCATCGATAGCCTGAAAATTTGAAAATGTCTTTCCTTCTGTACCTTCCCCCACCTTCCCCAGTAAATTAATACATTAATTACCTTATCAGCTATTAATTATGTACTGATTAGTTTCCAGACTCACATTATAGTTGTTTCACACACAGCTATTGGAAGAAGGATCTCATGAAGTTTCTTGCAATAAACTGTGGTATGCAACAGTACAGAAGCCCATGTGTCACAAATGCTCTTACTTGTAGACCATTCTCTGGGAACTGTCCTGACTTTAAGTGGGCTGTCTGGGGGCTCCTGGTTCATCCTTGTTTCCCCCAAGACCTGGTTCTGTTCTTCGAATCTAGCGGATTGTCAGCAAATATTTGTTGGCCTAACTGAAAAGATGTAGCAGAGTAAGGAACCACCTTTACTCCTTGTTACATACTGAACAGTTGAGTCCTCCCAAAATGTGTACATTGAAGCCCTAACTCTCAATGTATTAGGAGCTGGGGTCTTTGGGTGATTTGAGTCAGATGAGGTCATGAGGGTGGGGCCCTCGTGATGGGATTAGTGTCCTTGTAAAAAGAGATGCCAGAGAGCACCCTCTCCCTCTCTTTCTCTCTCCCCTCAAGCACGCAAAGAAGAGGTTACCTGAGCACATAGTGAGATGGTAGTCATCTCTAAGTGACGAAATAATATTCACAATGAAACCTATCCTGCTGGCACCTCCCTGCCTCCAGAACTGGGATAAATAATTGTCCTTTTTAAAGCCACCCGGTCTGTAGTACGTTGTGGCAGGCAGAGCTTACTGAGATGCCAGGAAAGGGTGGAGACCCTCGGCGGTGGGTGAGGGCACCTGGCTGGGGTCCTGCTCTGCCCTTACTGACCCTGCCCTTGGGTGAGCCCTTACAGCTCTACTTCCTTGCCTATAAAGTGGGAAGATGAGAACAGCAAAAGTTTTTATAAATTGTAACAGTTTCTTGTGCTTTGTCCCACATCATATGAGTGGTAACCCTCACCCCACACAGGGAGGTGGTTCAGGATCTGCCCTCCTACCTGCCTTAGAAAGGAACCGAAGCTTAAAGGGCTTCATTCACATTTCCAAGATGACCCAGGGAATACATATAGTGAGAGCCACCTGACTCTGAATTCCACATGCTTTCCTCACACACTGTACTTGGTAATCTGTCAAGCATTTTACACATATCACGGTTTTAATGGGCTGACTCCAGAGACAAGGCTACTGGCAATGACTTCATCCTGCTTTTCCAGGGGCCCTGAGATTTCAAACCATTGCAGAAATTTAGGATCAGAGAACCTTCCTTTCTGTCGGGAACAGAGAAGATGGCAGGCTGATTCCCGTTTCTTTGTTCATGAAGAAATGGATAGGTTGCATTCTAGACATACCCCTTCTTGATCTCTTGCATTCTCTGTGCTCCGATGTGAAAACCAGCAACAGCACTGAAAGATTCTGCTTTCACCAACACCAGAAATCACTTATGAATATTTGCATCGAAGCACCCTGAGTAGACATGGGTAAATGTCAGTTGATATTTTATGGTTTTGGGGATTAGCCAGCTTTTCCTCTTCTTCTTTTTTTTAGCTTGTGCTATTGTTTAAAGCATGCATGGAGTTATGATTTTTAAATGTCCATGGAAAAGCCCTGAATAATTCATTCACTTACCTTAATCAAAGAGAAAAGTCCCCTTTGTCTGCCCGGGAATAAAGATGAAATTCCTCTTACACCCCTCTTGTAGCTTTGGGGTTATCATCACAGGTATTATTATGAACCCTAAACAAGAATGTGTGAAATGAATGTTTTTAAAATGCCCATTTCTGAGAGGCAGGCATCTGTATCTCTGTGTGTGCAGCCATATAGACAGATAAATCTTTGGCCTTAATGGTTTAGTTGCACAGGGTGATTATTTTCATTTCCACTTATTACTGTGTGTTAGACTCCTCATGTATGAGTACGAATTGCTCTTTCTTGACTGTATTTAGAAATACCCGCATTACCCCTGGGTATTTGTTCATTAATAGGGGGTGGGGAGAAAAAAAGCTTGTAATAATGGGCTTTACATATTATTAAACTGTATGTGTTCAGATTAGGGTCCAAGTGAAAAAAAATCTAGTTTGTGTTACTGCCCTCTGGTGGTTGCAGTGTGTTGCTGCAGTGGCAGGGAAGTAGCGCGTCCCTGGGGTGGAGCTCTGCCTGCAGTGGCTGAGAGCCAGGCAGACCCTGGGACTTTGCCGGGCCACCAGTCTTGGATTCACATTCACTGCTTTCCATCCAGGTGCACTGCAGGCACCCTAGGATTCCACTTAGTGGCCAGAATAACGATCAAAAAGCCCGTGTCCACACAAAATAACGCTGACCAACGTAGGGTGACATTCGAGTGAATTCAGATTCTCCGTGAACCACACTCCTCATCTTTCAAGATCAGCATGGGAAGATGCAGTGGCTCCCCTTGTGCGACATATGTACCCCCTGTGGTATCCAAGGTGACTTTGGATGTCTCCAGATAAGCGTTTTCAATGTTAATAGTTATGTGTTAATATTTTAATATGTCGTGGGCACAACGCAGGGAGTGTTTGATACCCATGGTCTCCTGGACGTAGGTGCCGACCAGGAGATGGTGCCCACGCACAGCGGCCTTCTTTGCAGCGATGCAGCACTGGGTTGGTGAGCTGTTGGTTGATGGGGCAAGGCCCATGTGGAGGTAGGGGGACGACTGGGGGCAGCAGCAGCCGGCTCCATGCTTGTGGTGTGACCTTGGCGTGTTAACCTCGATAAGCCTGGGTGTCCTGATTTGTTGAATAGGATCATAATGGCTCCTCCTTAGGGTGCTGTAGATTTTTAAAGGTGCGGTGCACACGTCAGGCGTCTGTCTCGGAATACGGCCCCCTGTCTCCCTACACTCGGACATTTCTCTGAGCCTTCTTTCCTCCCTGATCGAATCCTGCTGTGCTTGCCACATTCCGTTCTTCATCAGGCCTGCTGTCAGTTTCCATGTTCTTCTCCCTCTTGAATACAGGTGGGCTCTCCCCCTGTGGACTGCACTCCATGTGGCACCCTGCACAAAGCAGGCTCTTTCCTTGTGCCTGTGGCAGGAGTTAAGCTCAGGAGCAAAATAATTCCAAGTGACGTTTGCCCATCCTTTGACACAGTCAGTGAGTGCATTGCATCTATCAGGTGAGGACAGGACCTGTCCATTGTCCCTCCTGTCTCCCTGATCCATGTGATCTGATAGGGTTAGGTTCCTACCCATTGGCTGCAGGCAGGGAAGAGAAAAGGTCTGCAGTGTCTAGAGCCCCGCCTGAGCTAATATCTCTCTTATCTTACCAACTGATATATGTATAGGTTTATGGTCTGCGCCTGCGTGCACACGCTCTACTTGTTAATTTCAGCGGAAGAGAAAGGAAAAGCAATGGGAACATTTTAAATAACAGTATTTAGCACTAGGATAGGAGCTATTTTAGAGTTAACAGAGGAGCCTTTGTTGCTCACGAAGGTAGATTTATAGGCCTTGCCCTGGCTTAATCTGTGTAAAAAAGACACTCCTGTCTCCTTCGGAGTGGTCTGATGGGAGAAACTACCCCGGGTGGGGGTTGGGGGGGCGGAGGAGCCCTGGCAGTTAAGGATAAACGCAGGGAAGCAGGGTTGTTGTCTGCCTTTAAAATCCTTGCGGATTTTGTCTCAGCTCTGTGTGATTCTAAGTTTCTCCACTTGCCCTCCACGGAGCTTCCCACTCTCTTCGTAAACGGCTGCAGAACGCCCGCTTACATGTCTGCCATGGAGACGATGTTCATTTAAGGCTTCAAGAAGTCAGAGCTTTCATGTTGGCCGTGAAAGCCAGAGAGCCGCAAGCACCTCAGTGGCGGAGATGAAAGGACATATGTGTGCGCGTGTGTGTTTGGAACTTAAAGGACAGGGAGAAAAAGAAAATAGATGTTACCGCTTTGCACTTACTTCAAAATATGCCTGACTCCCTCTGGTGGGACCGTTTAACTCCAAATGCGTCCCCCACTCCCACCTCACGCTCCCCGCCCCCACCACATTCATCTTGGCTCATGTGACATCTGTTCTGGGCACTGCGGAGCAAGTCTTCTCGTTGCCATGGCAGCCAGTGGAGAGAGCCCGCCCATTGGCTGCTAGCGGAGAGGAGAAAAAAAGGCCCGCAGTGTCAGAGGTCGCGCGCCTGGTGCCCGCCTGCCACTGTTTTCAGTCAGCTGCTGGCGGGGCCACGTTACCGGAGCGCGCGGCAGCGGGCAGAGGCCCGCAGGGACCGCTCGCCACAGCTGTGGACCCCGCCGGGCGGAAGGGGGGCCCCCGAGGTCAATGTCATTAGTTTCTCCCTCAAGTGTGAAGTGCGTGAAGGACAAAAGCAGAGCCTGTGGAGAAGAGTGGGCTGCCTTCTCCTTCACCTTGAACTACTCTGAGCTCTCTTTTCTTCTGGAGTGTTTGGATTGAAATTCCTAGGATGACCCTTCCTACTCCCAGCCTTCCCCATAGTGAGAGAGGCCCTGGGCCCCAGTTAAGCTGTCGAAATAAAAGCCTGTCTCAGATGCCATTTACCTTGACCATTATTACCCCGTCACTCTAACACCAAAAGAGGACAGTGTTCCATTTCAAAATCTACACCCAAAACCTGATTGTTTTTAAAATCATTTTCCTCTTGTTGGAGTCATCTCTGAATTTCATGATGTGATTGGAATCCTAGCTGTAGGGTCTCGTAGTCATGGCATCAGAGGTATAGGTCACTCACATCCTTACCTCCTGACCGATGAATCTCTGTCCCCAGGGCCTGATCGTGCACACGGACAGGTAGACAGAGGAGCAGCCTTGAAATCCTCATTTACTGAACCCCAGCTGCCTCTCCTGGGCTCCCTTCTCCGGGCAGGTTTTAGGTCCCCACTGATGAGTGATGGGGTGTCCTGGCACCAGCCACAGCCGGGACCTTCAGTCCCCAGAGCGCGGCACCAGTTGGGATTTGGCTGGACAAACCCTGACAATGGCAGTTCAACATAATTGCGGCTGGAGAAGGAAAGTTTGCGAACATTCCCTCATCCGTTCCTCCCATGTGTGGTCCCTGCTTCACAGCGGGCTGATCCTGGTAGTTTCCCAGGTCATACTCTTGTGAACGGGTGAGCTCGCGATGCACACTGCAGTTCTTTGCTTCCGAACTCTGTCTGCATTTGTCACTCAAGCCGCAGGGGCCCCTGGATGTCTGAGACCCCCGCAGACTTATATATGGGGAAGGTAGCCTATGATGAAGACCGCTCCTCCCAGCTCTACGCATGCTTCGTCATGCCTATTTCACACTTGGTGAGAATGTAACGTTGGTGTTTAATTCATCGAGATCAGGGACTAATGGCTTGAGGAATTTTTCTTGCTCCTTATGGCAGCTGCTTGTGGTTATAACCTGTATACGTAATATATAACCTGTATATATAACCTGTAGCACTGTATACGTGTATTTTCACTGAGCAAAAAGCTCCCAGCTGATGACAAGGAGGGGATTTGTGTCAGAACCAGTGAGACAAAGTGAAAAATTACTGTCCCCTTTTCTTCATGCTCTCAGGCTTACTTTGGCCCCTTATTTATTTTCAGATAGTTTGGGCTTTATCAGAGTAGAAATGTAGGGGAATTCCCTGGTGGTCCGGTGGTTAGGACTCAGCACTTCCACTGCAGGGAGCAGGGATCTGAGTCCTGATCAGAGAACTAGGATCCTGCAAGCAGTGCAGAGTCGCCAAAAAAGAAATGTACCACAAAATAATGTTGGAGGAGGTCTGTGTTATTGAGGTCTGCCTCTCTGCCATCTTTGCTCATTCCTTTGGCCTGAATCTAGAAGTTTGAGGATTTACTCCTAAATCTTGGAAAGAACTATGGAACAGAAAAAGAAGTCTTGTCACTTACCTGTCTTTGTATCATTGTAAGAGAGTGATTGCTTCTGCAGTTCGGCGAAACCAGGACCAAAACAGTTGCCAGTGATTCAGGTATTAGTTTTTCTATCCACGTGCTGATCAGAGTCAGGAAAGTTGATGAACAGTGGGATGGGTTGGAAACGAGGCAGGTAGTCCCCACAAGCTTGCTCTCAAATCCAGTATCCTGAGTCACTAGAGGTTATTAAACCCACCAGCAAAACTGAGCTTGTTCCTCTCCTCCCTCTTACACTGGGAACAGTACCCACTTAGGGAAAATTAAGCAAAATTGAGAGCGTGTGCATTTCTAGAAATAGGACCTTAACAAGCATTCAGAAGAATGTGCTTCAGTGGCAAGAATGCTGGAATATTTCACAGTGCAACTCATATGATGGTTTTTATCAAAACTTGAGTGGTGAAGTTACCATGAGTCATGTTTTGCCCACAAAGATAGGATCAAGTCTATAGAGTAAAGACGTAAGACAGTAGGTTTTCACTTACAGAACCTACAAGCAACTGTTCTTCCAATTACACTTTGCACTCATCCCAGCATTCACTGCTAATGCTCTTTTTACCACCCTTCATAAGTATTTATGACGCCATAAGAAAAAAATGCAGTGAGAAACAGGTTAACAGTGAGTTTTCCAGAAAGAAAATTAAACAAGCAAAAGCCAGAGAAGCTCCTGGTGTCCATTTAAACACGTGGAAGAGAAGTCAGTCAACTCCCTGAACTGGTAAGAAATCCCCCACTCCCCGCCGTCATGACTCCCTAGAGACGCAGGACTGAGACCACTAACCATCACGCCTCCTGCTGCCCACTCCACATCTAAAGCACGACCAGGTTTCCTTCCCCCTCCCATTTTCTTATCTGTAAGTTTAGACTCATCTATCTGGAGAAATTTCTCTAAGATATTTAGTGCAACACTATTTAGCCACGTGATGTGGATTAATGGTTGTCTAAAATGACCTTTAGGGCTTCCCACGTGGCTCAGTGGTAAAGAACCCGCCTGCCAATGCAGGAGACATAAGAGATGGAGGTTCGATACCTGGATTGGGAAGATCCCCCGGAGGAGGGCATATCAGCTCACTCCAGCATTCTTGCCTGGAGAATCCCTGGACAGAGGAGTATGGTGGGCTACAGTCCATAGGTCACAAAGAGTTGGACATGACCGAAGCAACTTAGCATGCACGCGCTGTAGTTAGTACTGACATCTTAGGAACTTAAATGTTTCACCTTTTACCATGTGGGGAGTTTAGGCACTAACCTAGCTCCCACAGTTTTAAATGAACCTACCAAGCTTCCGCCATCCATTCCTTACTTCAGCCTTCGCTGCTGCCTCTGAGTTTGAACTTTTCTGGAACTCTGTTAACAGGGAATACTGATGTACTGCCTTCTTTACTTACTGCTTTTTCCTCATGTTGAATTACAAATTTTGCATTCTGATAGTTTCCCCCTCAATACAGTTCCGTTTGTTTAAAATTTCAGGAATTCCTCAGATTTTCTTATCACCCTTCTCTGTGTTTCATAATATTTGTAATCTGTCCTTTCAGTAGGATTTTGTGGGGAGAATATGTCAGTGTTCAGACTTTGTTTGCTATCTTGAACTGTAATTTGTTTAATGTTACAGAATATTTCATTCTTGTAGCTCAGTTGATAAAAAAATCTGCCTGTAGTGCAGGAGACCTGGGTTCGATCCCTTGGTTGGGATGATCTCCTGGAGAAGGAAATGGCAACCCACTCCAATATCCTTGCTTGGAAAATCCCGTGGACAGATGAGTCTGGTGGGCTGCAGTCCATGGGGTTGCAAAGAGTTGGGCACGACTGAACACTTCATTTCATAGAATATTTCAGAAGTTTTAAATGATAGTGAATATAATCAGTGTAGGTTTTGGAATTAGATACATGGGATCTGTGCTGCTTAAAATACTTGAGTTATTTTGAGCAAATTTCTTAACCAAAGTTTTGGTTTCTTTATCTGCAAAATGAAAATAATGGAACTGATCTTCGCTTATTGTTAGTGTTATGAGATAATACAGGTAAAGCTCTTAGGAAGTGGTATCCAGTAGGTGCTTGGTAAATGTTATTTATTAGGTTAGGAATATTCAGCAGAGTTATTTTAAAAACAAATCAAGTAGCTTTTTCTGAAAATCTTTTTGAAGAAAAATTAATATAAATAGATGATAAGCTGCTGCCAGTATGGTATCAAAACTTTAACATATCCTTGCTACTAAATGTAGTTAAGACTAAGACTTACGTNTGGAAGGACTGATGCTGAAGCTGAAACTCCAATACTTTGGCCACCTGATGTGAAGAGCTGACTCATTTGAAAAGACCCTGATGCTGGGAAAGATTGAGGGCGGGAGAAGGGGACGACAGAGGATGAAATGGCTGGATGGGATCACCGATTCAATGGACATGGGTTTGAGTAAACTCCGGGAGCTGGTGATTGACAGGAAGGCCTGGTGTGCTGCGGTTCATGGGGTCGCAAAGAGTCAGACATGACTGAGTGAGTGAACTGAACTGAACTGATAACATAATGATGATTAAAAAAAAAAACAAACTATGGATTGGGGTTAGAGCTTGATATCCTCTCAGTAGATTTATTGGGCACCTACTGTATACCAGGAGACTGCATGCGAGCACTTGGTTTTGATCTGAAAACTAAACTCTTGACACCTTGTGTTGTTTGCATCAGTTTCTTACAGGGCAATAAACACAATGTACAAAATCTTCCAAATGTAGCTTGAATTGTTTGTTTTCTTTAGACATTCTCATTTTCTTAAGGAAAGGAAAGCACCAGACCCCTTGTGCCACAGGGATGCCTTTCCTAGCTTAGAAACCCATTTACCAATATCGATACTTTATTACAAAATAGCAAGATTCAGTGGAAAAGAGAAATCATCGTGGAAGGAAAAAGGAACCTGGTTTCAGGAATATCATTATTTGTGCCATGAACACTAATTTATTGTTTTTACACATATTCACCCAAAGGCTGTGGTATGGTTTCAGGAATTCACAGAGTACAATACCCAAGCACTTGTGATAGGAAAATCGGATTCAGCAAAGTGCTCTTCTTTCTGCTACATCAGTTTGTAAAGTGGTCCTAAAAACACACAGGTTCTTTGTTATGACAGCACGGCTT